GCGTCAAGACAGCAAGACAGCTTGTTGTGCACAAGACATTTTATCATTCCAGTGCCGCGGCGTTTCGTTGCGATCTCCTGAATTCAATGTGGCAGCGTTGTGTTTCAGGCCTTGTCTACGCGATGCTGCGCGCCAGACTGGAGCATGCATGAATGCTCTGCTGTTGTAGCGCTGCGGTCCCACCACTAAATGCTCACGCCGCGCAAAAGCACCCTGCGCTGCAACGCGGCGCGCGCTTGCGCGGCGTTCCCCGTGATTTCTGGGCTGGGCCCAGCGACCATCTGCATGTGCTCCTCGCCCCGCGCGATTTTGGACTGGGATGGGACGCCACGACAATTTTGGCATGTGACTCCGGTGGAGTACTCTCGCGGCGATCCAGAGCCATCAAACATTACGGCATGTCGGTCAAGATCACCAGGTATGCTCGCGCCCTTCGGCGCTATCGAGTCACTCGTCGACTTGAGCAACAGGGTGTAGCACCCGCGGGGCTCTTTGCCCATCAGCTGCACGGCGTGTTTGGCGGCTGGCCAACGCTTCGGCCCCGAGGTTGACGGGCAGGTGCGTCACCACCTTGCTGGACCTCAAGGCGCCGCAGCGCGACCCCGCCTATCGGCGCCGCTGGACACCCTCAGGATGTGGCTGGCGACGTGGGTATCGGAGCCTCACCTGCGTGCAGGCATCGGCCGCACGTGGCAAAGCCTGGTTCAGGAGCTTGCGGCCATCCCAACAACACATCGCTGTCGGAAGATCCGCGGGCCCCAGGCTACCGTCATCACCTACTTGCTGAACGCGGGCTGGCACCCTACTGCACCGAACTCCTGGTCTATTCTGGACGACACGTGCAGTTGGGATTTCAAAGAGAGCAATTTGACAGGTTGTGCAGCCATCGATATTCCTGAAAATTTCTTTCAAAAATTTCAATCCACGGTGCAAACTGATCTTTGGAAACAAGCCGCCAATCATTTCGGAGGCAGCATAACGGAAAATGGTATATGCAATCATTATTATCGGCAACTGCGGCAGCAGCTTGAAGAGGGCCCAGGCGGGCCTCGTCTGGCAAGGCTCATGCTGGCGGCGGCGACAATAGCTTCTGGGCCCAGGACCAGGAGGCAGACCCGCTGCAAGCAGCAGATCCCCAGGACTGCCCGCGGTGTCGGGCCGCCCCCGAGACAGCCTTCCACAGGATCTGGGGTCGTGATACAGGTCCGACAGCTCGGTCTACCAGCTGAGTGAGAAGTACGTCGCCAAGACATACGGCAAGGCTGAGGCCGATGAGTGCTCCTGGACACGGGGGTTGCTGCCGTCGGCGTGGGTCGCAGTCGAGGATCCCCCCGGCCAAGAGCTGTGGCATTTTTCGGAGGAGGCGGAAGGAAATTCGAGGAGGATCTTCGGGGAGGAGTTCGCTGGATTTGGAGAGAAGACCGCTGCACATCCCCTCTTCTTGTTCGACGCCAGCGGAGGCAAAGAAACGAACCATCCTCGCCTTCGCCGCGTTGGTATCGGCATCGCCCTCTTCCGCACCCTCGATGACGATATGAACATATCTCTCGGACGTTGGTCGTCGCTCCCAGGGCCTCGGCAGACAGTCGTTCGAGGCGAATTGTATTGCTTGTGGGTGTCCATACGCGAGAGCGAAGGTCACATCATATCAACCACTGACAACTCTACTGTCTGTTCGGGTTTGTATGAGTCTAGGTGGATTGCCCCATCGGGGCCCGACGCTGATCTTTGGTATCGGATCGGTCGTGAGCTTGAGCGTAAACCCAGTATGCATGGCACCGTCTTTTGAGGCAGAGCACATGGTAGGAGATCATGTCCCTAGGCTGATGATTGTAGGTAACAAGATTGCCGACGAGCTCGCAGCTGCTGGATCGCAGGTCGCCCGTTTGTCTGAGAGCACGCGCACACGTGTGTACAGTGCTGAGTCTCTCGCGTTCGCCGTGCGCATGCGCATTTTACAGAGCGCGTTAGAAGCTCTTCATGCAGAGGATGTGTTGTCCCAGGCCGAGAATTTCGGGGCTCGTCGTAGGCAACGAAAGTAGTTTAATTTAGTCGTTCCCCCCCCTGCAGTCAGTGTGTGTGTGTGTGTGCAATGTTCGCCTCGTCGTATCTTCTCGGTGACAATGGCCGTAGTTGTACACGTTGTAAGGGGTCGACCGCACTCGCATGTAAAACCGAGCGGCTGAACTCACGATGCTTCGATTTAATTAGAGTGGACGGCGTCATTAGCAGACCTCCTCCTGGGCAAAGGGTGCACGTAATGGGGGTGCACGCTCATGAGTCTCACACTCTTCGGTATCACACGGGACTAAGGTTGTGGTTCTGTAACGCTTGCGGGAGTTTTGCAGCCGAACAGCTTGCACAACTCTGAAAGGAATGCAGCACGCCCCTCGACGGTAATCGAGTTGTTTATCGTAAGCGTATCCTCCAGGGGCTGTGGCCTAAGGTCTACAGCAAGAGGGAACAGGCCAGAAGAGCCAGGACGCAGTCAATCTAATCTGCTTCCACTCGTAACCGACCCAATCGCCATACCCGTAACTCCGTAACGCCTGCCCCCCTTACCCCCCCCCCGCTTCCTTCCTCCCCCTTCCCCCCCTCCTCCGCCCCACTCCTCCTCTTCATCGTCCTGCCGCCCGCCGCCTCCCCACTTCGCTTCTTCATCCTCCTCTTTCTGCTCTCCCTCCCCCTCCACCTCCCCCTCCTCCTCCTCCTCCTCCTCCTCCCCACCAGCCCCCCCCCCTTTATCGAGGCAAAATCAATGAAACACCTGGTGGGGTAACGCATGACAGTGCTCTGTTCACGCGCGCGCGCCTTCATCCACGTCCTCGGCGGCCGGGGCTCCAAGACGGCCTCGGATGCTCCAAATCGGCGCAACATGGCAGAAGATGGTTCAAGACAACTTCCATCATGATATACCTCCAGGAGGCCCGACGAGGGCCACAAGACGATTCCAAGTGCTCTCGGAGACCCCCCCAAGGCCGCCCCAAAGAGGCCAACATCCTTCAACATCCCAAGGAACATTAATCCGCCGGCCCCCTTGTGGGGCCACCAGGCTGCGAGGCGCGTGATTCGCAGTTTCCTGTACCAGTTGTAGTTTGTAGTTTCCAATGTTACAATTCTGCTTCTTGCTGGTTACTGTAACTAGTTGACTTTTTGCTGGTTACTGTAACTAGTTGATTGACCGCGCGAGGGGGGGGAGGCCCAAACGGGATTTTTAGCGTCCCCTGGGCGCGTTGTCTGAATTGCTGGGGGGGCTCGAAATCGACACCCCTCACGCAGATCCGCGGGGTCAGGGTCCAAAAACACAGGGGATTTGCCACATTTCTGAAATTCGGTGCCACCCCTCACGCAGATCCGCGGGGTCAGGGTCCAAAAACACATGGGATTTGCCACATTTCTGAAATTCGGTGCCACCCCTCATGCAGATCCGCGGGGTCAGGGTCCAAAAACACATGGGATTTGCCACATTTCTGAAATTCGGTGCCACCCCTCACGCAGATCCGCGGGGTCAGGGTCCAAAAACACATGGGATTTGCCACATTTCTGAAATTCGGTGCCACCCCTCACGCAGATCCGCGGGGTCAGGGTCCAAAAACACAAGGGATTTGCCACATTTCTGAAATTCGGTGCCACCCCTCACGCAGATCCGCGGGGTCAGGGTCCAAAAACACAGGGGATTTGCCACATTTCTGAAATTCGGTGCCACCCCTCACGCAGATCCGCGGGTCAGGGTCCAAAAACACAGGGGATTTGCCACCTTTCTGAATTCGACGCCACCCCTTACGCAGATCCGCGGGGTCAGGGTCCAAAAACACAAGGGATTTGGCACATTTCTGAAATTCGGTGCCACCCTTCACGCACATCCATCGCAAGGCGTGGTAACCCAAACTGCGAGAACTCCCTCGGCCCTTTAATCGCAAGGTGTGGTAACCAAGCCCGTAAACCATACACGTCTTACCAATCGCCAGGTGTGGTAACCCCTCTTGTGATCAGTTGGTTTTGCTGATTGCGAATCGGCTTCGCATGAAGTTTCGATACTGCTTCACAACAGCGCCAAGGCCTCATGACTTAGCTCTTCCATGGCCCATTCTCCGAGAGAGGGGGCCGGCGGCAGGGGGCGAAACCCTTACGGATAATTCTTACCTTCTAGCATTCTCGCTTCCGATGCTCTTTTGAGGCATGAAGACTGCCCCAGGATGGCCCAACAGAGCCCCACGAGAGGTTCCAAATGCTGCTCAGACAGCCCAAGAGTGCCCAAGAGGGCACCAAGAAGGCCCGAGGAGGCGATTCTGAGGGCCCCAGAAGGGGGTGGCAAATCGCCCCCCTCCCCCCCCCCCCCCCCCTGCCCCCCTCCCTTTTTGATCGATGGCCTCCGAGTTGGCCCCAGAAGGCCCTCCAAGGCTCCCAAGAGGGCCACAAGACGGCCCCAAGATGGTCTCAAGAGCGCCCAAGAACGCCTCACGAAGGCCCCAAGAGGCGGGTTTCATCCTCCTGCTCCTCCTCCTTTCCTCGCTCTCTCGCGGGCCCCAGGGATGGCCTGAAGAGGCCCTCCAATGCCACCCCCTTGCTCTGAAAAATCCCTCTGCTCATCGTGGTTGCCCGCTTTGTTTCACGATATGCGTCTCTTCATCCCTTCTCCCGTCATCTGTCATGGACAACATTTCTGAATGGGCTGGTGAGGATACGCGAAGCGTGGAAGCGTGAAGAACTTGCAGTGGGTTTCGCACAGTGCTGTGTTGCACATGCAGATGTTTGCTGGCACGCGGCTGGTACTGCGCGTCAAACTGCGCACCTGTGGTTCGACGCGGAACTTTGCCGTTTATGTTGAAAGGATTGACCTTTCAACCAAGAGGGGAAAAGCGAAGGTGCCCAGAGGCCCAGATAGGCCCAGAGACCGCCCAGAGGCCACGAAGAAGCCCCAGGGACCCCCCAAAAGGCCTCCAAAAAGGCACCCAAAGGCTTCCAAACCGTCGCTTGTTGTTGGTCCCACAACTTGGCCCCATAATGGTCGGCGGTGCGGCGTAAACCCGTGAAATCAAACGTGCAACTGCCCTGACAAATCACACACGAACGGACTACAAGCCGATGGCGCTCCAGGGAAAACCCGGTACCTGCCAACTTCCACCAGACTGAGGATTACCCCCAGCCCGAGAGCGTGCCCCTTACGAGCTAGGAGGAAAGCGCAGAGGAAGAGGGGGGGAGGACGGACAGGCGAAGCGGCGCAAGATGCGAAAGATTAGGAGCAGAGGGAGGACGCCGTTTCCGGCCTTTCCGCCAACTGCGCCGTGCGCGCGGGTCACTCGAACGACTCGAAGAGGCCGTCCAAGCTGCCGCCGCTCTGACGGTGGGTCCCCGAACGGCTATTCGCACCCGAGTTGGAGCCACCGTCTGGCCTCAACAAGTGGCGGGGTGCAATCTCCCGCAGGAGCGTGCGCCCAGTGGCCCCGGAGATTGTCTGGGCGTTGGCCGCGAGGTTGGTCTCGTCGTCCGTGCCCGTCCCGATCGTGGAGCCCTCCTGGGCGGGAGCGGACTTCACTTGCTTCAGGCGTTGCCGCGCACGCTCCTGCTCAAGGTCCTGAACTTCCGACGGCGGCGGCGGCACCAGGCTGCTAGCAGGCGGACCGTCCAGGGAAGGGTTCCGCAGCAGCGCCTCTAGAAACATCCGCAGGTTGGAGATACCGCACAGGTACTCCTGGTCTGGCAGCTCGCCGCCTACGTCCTGGAAATTGGCGAAATCGATGATCTTCACTTGCACAGACCTTAGGCAGCTCTCTCTGCTGTCCTCATCAACGACCCCGGCGTCGAAGAAGATGAGCACTGAGCTCCCCCAAAAGCGCATTCCAGACAGCTGCTTCAGCAAAGACTCTAGCCTCTCGAGCTTCTTGACGACAACCTCCACCAGAGTGGCGCTGACGCCTGCAAGCGAACCGTGCGGGCGGTCCAGCCCCAGGCTGAAGAACATGGCTAATGTCCTACTCATGGACTCTACTGTCACCCTCTGGCCCCAATATTTGTCGTGGCGCTTCACCTGGCCCGTCACGCGGTCGAACCCCTGCATGCCGCAGACCCGGAAGCCCAGGATCGCAGACGTGGACTGCGCGGCCTTCGCGGCCATGTGCGTCCGCTTCTGCGTGTTGTGGCGCGCAGAGCGTTGACGGCAACCCACCTTTTAGGGAGCATGACCGACCCACGAACCCGAAAAGGGATTTAGAACTGCGAGGCATGGGAACGCACCCAAGCACCTCAATTGGCCGACGGGTAGTGGCGATGCTGAAGATATCAATGATGATGGTATTCTGCCAAGGGCTGTGACCGAACTGATTTGGATCTTAAACTCAAGCTGCCTGAACGCATAGCTCGGGCTAGTTGCAATCGAAACGCACGGAGCGCTTGACCAGCTCGAGCGAGCTCAAGATCCGATTCAGTTCCGCAGCCCTCACTCGAGACACCTAGACATAGAGCCAGACGACCACATGTTGGATCTCTCCCTGCGTAGCCTGGACGCTGAAGACGTGGTTCCAGCTTGGGACAACAATGTTAGGTCATCCCCCTGGGCGGCCTGGACACGCACACGTGAACATGCGTGGCTCCAGCTCGGCACAATCATATTAGATACCGCCCTGGGTGACGACCTGGACACGTGAAAACACGTGGCTCCAGCTCGAGACCATCATGCCAGATATCCACCTGTGTGGCCTGGACACGTGACAACACATGGCTTCAGCCCGGGACCACCATGTTAGAACCCCAGGGGAAACTGTGGAAGGGGCGGAACTCGCGGATGGAGGCACAAAAACTCTGACTCCTCGCGACTGTTGCGCTCTGACGGGGGGGGAGGGTGGCAACACGCCGGAGGATATCCAGAGGCGTATAATCCGAGCAAGTGTCGCGTTCGGGAGGGGGCGGAACACGAGGGAGAAGGTTCAGAGGCTCGGAATCCTAGCACCTGTCGCGTTTTGGGTGGGCGCAACGTGGGCCCCTCTCGTGCCAGAACGCACCAAGCGTGAAAACACATGGGCTCCTTGCGCCCCAGAGCAGAACAAACTCGCCCCAAACTGGAAAAAGAAGGAAAACACATGGGTCCCTTTCGCCCCAGAGCGGAACAAACGCGAAAACACGTGGGTGCCTTTCGTTTTTTTGTTGGAGCTCCACACTCCACAGAGAACGAAACAGTGCAAGGAGCGGCGGCTGGAACCACTGCAAGCTGCGCCCAAGAAGGGGCGCAAAACGAACTGGGCAAAGCGGCGACGGCGCCGCTTCACCACAGGTGTCAGCTGGCCCCGGGAGGGGTGCACAGCTGCCAGAGACCTGTGACAACCAGCAAGCGAGATTCGCTACTGAACGAAGCAGGCTGAAGTCAGATACTTGAGACACACAGCAGGCGCGATTAGCAACTGAAGGACACAGACCAAGACAATGAAAAACTCAGTCCGAGTCATCACTGTCGCCTCTGCTGGCAATGGGGCCTCGAATCGTCCTCCCCACGACGGGCTCCAGTGACACTAGCAGGCTGCCTCGACGAGCCAGCACTGGTCGAACGTGAGACGGCAGGCTGAGCCACGACGTGCCGATGGCCAAAAAGCTCATAGACAGCGCCAACGTCCACCGACACGTGGCGCCTGCGGGGGTTTCGGGTGCATCCCTATATACAGGTAGCGCCAATGTTGTTCAACGTTCCTGGTGGGATGTCCATCGCATCTCCTGCCCAGCCCGTCAATGCGCGCACCATTGCTGTGAAAACTGCACTTGGTGCAAACAAAAACATGACTCCCATCACCGCGGGGAAATGCAATGACTTTGTGGCCCAGCTCACACAGCACCTCCACGTCAAGCTTGCTTTTCCCTGCTCGGCGGCCTGGCGCGGGCTCCTCCTGCTGCCGACAACCTACCAAACATACTCCCTGCACCTCCACAAGCCTGACGAAACTTGCCAGTCGTGATGGTTGCCAAAGGAAAGCGACGGCACAACAGTAGAAACCTTCGGGGCGAGAGAGAGCTCCAAGCGAGGCCATTCTAGCAACAGTTTGGCCGCTAGCATGGCGCCATGCGGGAAATCGTTGCGAGCCCGTCAACCTCGCCCAACAGCGCAACGTCTGCGGGACGCAAGTGAATAGCATGCTTCGCCGCAATCTCGGCATCATCGTTACACTTAATATCGAACCGTTTCTGCTCGTCAACGCATTCCCAGTGAAGGTCATTGTGGGCAGCAGCTTTGACCGCGTCAGAAATAACATTGGCTTCGCGAGCGTTCGCTTCCATGATGAGTCCACTGTGGGCTGTCTTGCCCGAGAGGCGCTCAGGAAAGGGGAGCTTGGAATGCTTGGCAACATATAGAGGACCGAAGGGGTACTTGGCTAAAAGTCCAGCCATGCCCCTCGCTAAACATTCACCCGCTTGGGGGGTCCGCGGATGCTGGGCCCGCGCAAGCCCTCGCTCTCCCCCTAAAGCATCTCCCGAGTCGTCATGCATAGTGGCAGCCCAAACAGACCTGCCGAGTTCCCTGACGACGCGTCGCCGGCAGGAACCATCGAGGAACAAATGGCCCCAAAGAACCCCGCCTTGAGGAACTTCAGGGCCTCCAGGACCTTCCAGGACTTCCCTATGCCACGCATATTGGACCGTGCCTTCCAAGCACGGACGAGGCAGGTCATCGGCGGGATGACCGATAGCTCCATGACAGAAAAGGACGAGCGAGTACCCATCGGCCTCAGCGTCCAAAGCTGCAGCAATCACCCAGGCGTCGGCCCACTGAGCCCGAAGCTCACCAACGCGATTGCAATCCCACAGCCGATGGCGAAGATAATCAGGAAGGCCACGATGAATACGCCTAGGGTCAAGCTGGTGCGCGCGCTGCATGGCTCTGTTAGGGGTCCAAAACGCGCTGCAGGCTAAAGCCCTAATCGCCCCCTTTCTCCAGGGGCGATTCTTTTTTTTAAGGGCTCCCCTAACCACGCCCAAACACAAACTCCCCTCCCGGCGCCACTTGTCGTCGCGGTGCCCTGCGGCAATGGATAGCCAACAACTCGGGAGAGGTAACGCACGGGGGGATTTCGTAGCATATGCCAACCCAGCCCGACGAAAGTAAGACGCAGAGCAGACAAAGGGCCAGCAACAAAAACCCAAATAAAACGAGGCGGATCCCACACCGCGGGCCAAGCCTGGCGAAGGGCCCCGTGGGTGAGAGAGCCGTGAAATTGGCCAGTCTGTGCCAACCAAACTGCACTGCCCCGCCTCATGATCGGGGCGGTGGCCGCCCCCCAGTGGGGGCTAAATATAAAATGCAGCAGGCAATTAAACTCAGAGACGGAGCGACAGGACGAACCTGCGAAAAAACGTCTCAGCGCATCTGGAATGAATCATGACCGGAGGCGCCCAGGATTCCGGCCCCATAGGACCCTCCAACCAACGGCCCAGCGGCAGAGATCCGAAGCCTCCTGACGCTTCCTACAACGGCACATGTGGGCGATCCTGGCCTTCAGCTTCGAGCGCCTGCCAGCATCCTGGCGGACTTCCCAGCGGCGAAGTCTCCGCCTAGGTTGACGGTGGAATCCTCCACGCTGCCAACTAAGGCAACAAGCTGCGCAGACAACTCAGTCGCCACCGCTTTGCTGGAAACCACCATGCAGACATTATCAAGAGCAACAATGCAGCCAAGCAGCTCGGTGATAGCATGGCGCAGCGCTTGCGTCCAAATCACGGTGCTGTCAATGGCGAGTTGCTTGGGCCCAATACTCGAGAACCCAGAATCATCCATGTAAGTGTCACTGTTCCGGCGAAGCGAAAACACAATTGTGTCGAAAGCGTCGACCGCAAACACACTGATAAGGGCGGTGGCCATGCTGCAGCCAGCCACCCCTCTCTCAACAAAATCGGCCCCGCAGAAATGCCGCCCAAGGACAAGAAACGGCCACGCCGGAAAGCAAAGCTGCAAGGGCGAGCGATGGGCACAGGAAACCCATGCTTGTGGCATTTACCTTCGAGGACAAAAAGGTCGATCGCTTCATAATTCGGGAGCATACCGAAAAAACACACACACACACACGCACTGCAACTGACATCCTTCTTGGCCGTTCCGTGTTCGGCCTTGGCGCGTTGCCGCCGCGCGACATCCGAGGCTCCTCTGTGCGCCCCAACAGCCCAGTACCGACGGGGGTGCTCAGTCTCCGAGAGCAGAGCGGGGGGCGACGGCACTTGCCCCGGACTCTGTACCAGGCGAAGAACACTCCCATCGGCCTGTAGCCACCAGACGGCATGGACAGCAGCGCTAAAAGAACAGCCGAGATCTGCTCGGGAAGCTCGCCGAGGGCTCCCATGACTTCGAACGCCATGGTTGAGGTGTCCAAGGCAGAGTCACACAACTATTGAAAGTGGCGGCAATTGAAACCATCTTTTTTGGGGCATTTCTTGGGCACCTTCGTGATGGCTTCCGCGGACAAGCGACAAGCGGGGCAAGGGATCCGCCGACGTCGGCCCCGACGAACAAAGAGCCCAAATGCCTTCGCCCTGAAAGGAAGATAATTTGAAACCTTCAGCGGCCAGAAGAGACGAGGGGTCTGGCGCGATCGATCCGTCGGCGGCTCAGGTGGCGGTGGGACGCCAGGGGGTCGAGTCTCCAGTGGCTGAATCCATCCTCTTGGCCCCCTCATCAATCAAGCCCCTCGCGAATCCAAGCCTGCCAACTCTTGGGACGCGTGAGCATCCGCCTTGCTGGCGAGATCCGCAGCTGCATCCAACTTGTCGCGCAATGCCTGCCCCAGAGAGCCTCGGGCGCAGAATGTCCGCGAGCAGGGCCAGCAACGTCTTCAAACAGTTTGCGAAGTCCATCCGGCACCTGAACTGTTGCTGGTGGCGCATATAGCAAACGAACTAACTTCTGAGCCAGGTCTCCGCGGCTAAGGCTTGCAGCGCGTAAAGCAGCCAAAGCGTGGACTTGGGAGTTATGCCAGCGCGCCGCATGCTGATCTGGATCATGACTATGGATGTCCCTGCCCAAGAGCGTTTTCCACGCCAGTTGGGGTATCTTGGAACGCGCGCCCACGACTGGGGGGTCGGCTCCAAGCAGCGGCGCAAGCCCCGCCTCACCTTGTCAGCCCACGCAGCGCAGCAAGGGCCAGGAAGGACAGCCGCCCCCACAATGCCGCCTCCCCTCGCACAAAGCCAATGCACGAGGGTAGGGCGAATCGGGGGGCTCGGGGGCTGGGCTGAACGCGGCGGGCGCAAGGGTGGGGGTGGGAAGGCAACCTGAAATTCAAACATTGGAGCCGAGCAAGAAGGGTGCAAGATCACCTGGGCAAGCCTGGCAACACTTCGCACGATTTAACGGCTTTCCCCAGACCCCCGGGACAACAAAAACGGAATGGTCTAAAGTGCCGAATGGGGGTCCTTCTCCAAAGCGAGCGCTCCCATCAGGCGTGATGTGTATGCCGAGAAGCTTCTCGGCAAACGAACGCTGACCGAGAACTCGAGGCGACGCGATAAAATTGGCACCAGTGCAGAAGGAAAGAGAGGCAGAGGAACAGCTTTCACAAACCTGAACCAACAGATCAACATTTCTCTCCGATAATCCTTCCGAGCGGCGAAGATGCGCAACATGGTCGAGAAAACGATTCCCCCGAGAGGGGTTGGTGACGCCTGAGACCGCGCGTCCAGCTTCAACCTCCGACCCTCCAGGGGGCCCATCAGAGTCCAGGAAATCCCTGGCCGGGGGCGTCGGCCAACAGCTTCTTCGTGGTCGCTCGACCGTTGCAGTTGACCGCGCGAAAACAGAGCTCGAGCGAACCCGAATGCGCAGCGGAAGGGCCCGAGTGGGAAGGGGCCCGACGTAGCTCGAGGCAGGGCCCCCTGGGCCAGACATGTAATTACTCGAGGGGGCAGCAGGGCTCTGAACTGACGCAGACATGGCGCATCGGACTCGGAGACGCAAAACTTCCAAACATGGCAGGCACGGAAGGGCTACTGAACGAGGGCTTCTGAAAGCCAGCGGCCCCACAGGCAATCGATCGACGAGCCCGCAGGGCGAGTGCCTAACCGCACCGCGCAGCGAGGCTTTGCAACGCTTGGGGGGCGGGCGGCGGCCGACGCGGGGCGGGGTCCAGCGGGGCGGCCGAGAGGCCTGATCCGAGGGGCCACTGGCGAGCTCTAGCGCGGGGCATCTGATGTCAATGGAGCGGTCGCGTGGCTGCGCCTGTCCGAGGAAGGGGGGGGGGGGGGGGCGGGGTGCTCGGCGAGCTGCGCCCCTGCCCCCTCCCGGCCAACGCGCCGCGACCCTGGGATGCCGAGGCCCCGCCCGTGCAGGCCCCCCAACAGCGGTTCGTTCCCCCGCCCCCGCACCAGCTGCGGCCCGCAGGCGGGCCCGCGAGCCCGCGGCGCTCGGGGGCCCCGCAGGCGCCTCGACAGCCTCTGAAAAGAATTATCAAACGCGTCAAAAGAGCCAGACTGTGCACGCGCCCAAGAGAAAGTTCACTCTCCTTCAAGGCGTGCTCTGGCCGGCCAAGATGAGGGCCCCCCGCCTTCGGAGAGCGCAGAGAAGCCGTGGCAGCTGGATCCTGAGAATGATGGCTACCCCCCTGCAGGTCAACTTCAACGGGACTGGTCAGTCGCTCCTGCAGGGGGCTCTATTTGTTGAAGCATGATCTCGGCAGTCCGTGCTCGCGCAGAGGGGCCTGGTGGCGCTGGGGGGCCGGGGGGCCGCCCCCGCCGGGTTCGCCGCGGGATTCCCCTGCCGGCTCAGAAGGCTGGCCCTCTGCCTGCCCCCCGGCCCCTTCGCCTCCGCCAGCGGCCGCAACAGCGGCAGCTCCGCCCTCTGGCGCGCCAGCCTCTTCGCCGCAGCGCTGTCCTTGCGTTTCTTGGTGGGCCGAGCGACGTGACCACGGTGGGCCTTCTTGATCTTCTCCGCCCCCTCAACCGCCTTGCTGAAGAGAGTGTCGGCGAGCTGCTGGATGCCCGCCTTGAGCTGTTCCCCCCGCTGCTCAAGCTCTCTTATCGGGCTCGGAGAGCTCGCAGTCGTCGCGAGAGCACAACGGCTCAGCAAGGTCAATGATAAGAGCCTTCGTGAAGCCACCGTCCAGAATGGACGCAAGAGGGACGGCAAGCCCGGCCTCTGGCTCGTTGGAAGGGGGCTCGACCGACGCGTGGAACGACTGCGCCAAGCGCCGATGCTCCTTTTCCGCCTCGTCGAGCTCATCCGTGAGCTTGGCGACCGGGCCCCGCTGCTGCGCCATGTGAAAGTCCTTCTCGGAGATGAGGGCGCGCAGGGCCTCTCGGTCCAGGGCGTTTGGCTCTGGCTGTCGTTCTCGCAGCGGGTCGATCAAGTCGTCGCCGGTCGGGGCCGCGGCTCCGGCCCAAGGGGCCCGCGGCGCCGACGCCCCCAACCGATCCTCGAAGTCTCCGCCCGCCGCTGCTCCACTCGCGTGGTCCTCCTCGTCGGGGAAGCTCAATCGTGCGTGCTTGAGGCGGCCTAGCCTCTCGTGCACCCGCAGGGGGCTGACCCCCGCCCGCCACGCGCTGCGGCCGCCCGCCGCCGCGCCTTGGGGGGCGCGGTCTGCGCGGGCAGGCGCGATGAGCAGCGGCGCCCCGGCGGCGCGGGCCTCCGCGGCGCGGCGGCTGCTGGCGGGGGTCTCCATCTCGCGCGGCATCTCCATCGTTCAGTCGAGCGCGGGGGGCCTGTCCCATCCTAGCCGCTGGCGGCGCGCGGTAATCGGCGCGGCTCTGAGAGCGCCGTTGACCTGCTCGTCGCCGCGGCTGGCGACCAGCGCGACGCGCCCCTCGCCCTGCTCTGCTGCGAGGGGTTGGGGGCCGCTCGGAGGCGCCGCGGGCGCCTCGGGGCCTCGGCGGCCCAGCGCGGGCGTCCGCTTCCGCATCGCCAGCCGCGCGACGGGCCCCGGGAGGGGCCGGGCGGGGTCGGCAGCGGCGGGCCGCAAACCTGGCCAGATATCTCGAGCAGGCCAGCGCGAACGTTCTGTGCGGCCTGGGAATAATGGCTTGTAGGGATCTGCGGGGGGGGATCTCAGGGCGCTTGTGTGTGCGTTGCAGTGTCCTTGATGCTTCCTTGTTTTCAAGTCCTCTCCTCCTCCTTCGGCTCTTAGTGCCCCGGCCGCCCCCGCCTTGCAGATGTTGTCCTGCGGGCGCCCGGCGCCCGGCGCAGCCGCGGCTCCCAGCTAGGCGCCGGCGGCCGCGAAGACCCGGCCGGCGACCGGCGGCTCCGCGCGCGCGGCAAGCGGCGCGAACGACCTGCCCCAGCTGCTGACTCCGCCCAAGCCCTGCGTCGGCGAACCGGCTAAATTCGACTCGGTCGCCCGCGTCCACGTGGTGCGCAGGCGTCGAATTGCAGCGCGTACTCTCGCAGGTCTCGGCACGGCGCCGCGCGGCGCAGGTGGGGCCTATTGGCAGGCGCCTTCTCAAGGCAGCGGCGCGGGCGCCCCGACGTCGATCCCCCGGCGGTCTCGCAGGCGCGGATGAGGCCTGAGGCGCGTGCCGGGGCCCCCGCCCCCGAAACTCGGCTGGCGCGCGCGGCCTGGCCCTTCGCGACGAAGATGATATGCGGCGGGTGGCTGGTAGCCCCGCAGGCCCGCGCCTCGCTGCACTTCGCGCGGTCGTCCGGGCGCGGAGCCCCTGGCCCGACCCAGCTCCAGCGGCGGCGGAGGGGCGGCCCTGGGGGGGGGCCAGGCGGCGGCGGCGGCTGCGGCGCCCGAGGATTGCCCGCTCGCGGCTGGAGGCGAGGGCGTCGACTGCGACGGCGAAATCCAGATACCCCCGGTCCCCGATCGAGACCTGCACACATCCTAGGGCCACGAGAACGGAGGCTCAGACGAGGTCCCAAGCTAAACGGAGGGGTGCCCCGAGGAGCCCCGCCGCGGGATTTGCCGCGGCGACGGCGCGGCCCCTGCGGGCCCGCGGCGCGGCGGGCCAGCTCTGGGCAGCGACGGGGCAAGCCGCGGAGGGGGCGGGCGCCTGTCTCCAGGCGGGCAACGACCCGATGGCTGCCTCCATCCGGGACGGCGGTGCGGGCCCAGGGCCAACGGCGGCCGGCGCTCCCATCTCCTCGTGGCCGTCCTCCTCCTCCTCGTCCACGTCGCCGTTGCCGTCGTCCTCGTCGTCCTCGACGATGATGTCGACCGTGGTGTCTGGCGAACTGGGCCGCGCTCAGCTGCAGAGGGCCCAGCTCTGCCTCGAGGTAATATCCGCAATCTCCTTCGTACTCTGCGGCCGCTGGGCGGCCACTTGGAACGATGGCGTCGCCACGGTGGGCGGCGCGGCCCTGGGGAACTCCAGCCTCTACTCGACTCCCCGAGCGAGTTCAACAGCTGCTGGCCCCTCGAAACCCTCGGGAGTGGCCGCCAGGTGGACCGCGTCGTCGGGCCTCGTGAAGCCCCCGCAGCGGCGATATGATCGACGTCATCGCACATGGAATCTCTCGCCTCCGTGACTTCTTCGGCCCAGGCGTGGAGCTAGACCGCGTCCAGGATGGGCGCCGCGGCCTTATCGGTGCGCCGCGCGGCGGGGGGCGGCTGGGCGTCTGGTGCCGCGGGGCGGGGGCCCACCGGCGGGCGCGGCCCGGCGGCGGCGGCCGCTCCCGCGCCCCAGCGCAGGGCGGCAGCTAGAGCCAGGGCAGCAAGCCAAGCGGCGGGGGGGGGCCCTTCTTTCGAAGGGAAAGGGGGGCTCGGCGCGCTGCCGAGCCACAAGGGCATATGAGCGTGCCCCTCTCTCTTTTTCTGATCCCGCAGTCTCTGACTTACGTTCCAAGCTGCCGCGCCGAGCTGCCAAACAGCTGAAGAAAACCCCCTGAGGCGGTCCAGGGGGGCCCCGAGAAAACCCCAAGAGGGGACTCAGCAAAGGAACCCGAACGACCATGTCGGGCCTTCGACTGCAAACCGCCCCCGGGCTGCCCCAAAAAACCACCGACACTCTCCCCAGGAATTCCGAAAGACCCGAACAACAACAAAAAAATCCAAACCCCCAGGAGGCTCCCGTAGCGATTAAAAAACTGTTTCCCGGACGCCCACGAGACGCCTCCGACGAGACCCCTTCTGCCATCCGCATGGCCCCAGGCCCAGAGCCCAGGCACGGTGGCGGGATGTGCCGAAGGCCACTCGACAATCACTCTTCTGGCATTTAGACAAATACCCGCCGTTCGTAGACATGGGTTCTCGCCCGTGCCCCTGTGCGTGCACAACGACAACTGAGAATGTCAGCCGCAGAATTCACGATTGCCCGTGCGGGTTGTGCCGCGATTGATGTGGGCCCGGGGAAACCTTTGGCGGACGCGCGGTCGCTTGTGCAAAAGGGCCACGGCACGGCCCAAATCTCCCTTAAAGACACCCCCGACGGCTCCAAAACGTTTTTTAAGAGATGCCTGCCTTTCGTCCCTTCAACCACCTCCCCGGCAAACTCCTCCTGAACGTCATCCCTACCAAGCTTTCAAAACGAGTTTAAACTCCTGCGACGAAGGCCCTCTCGCGGCCTACACGAAACCAACAACAACGCCGGCAACCAACATCCCACCATACATCTGGACATCGGGGAGCCTGTCTTCCAAACATTTTCTGCCCTTTCGGGGAATTATTTACCCCTGCTCCGTATTCGTACACACCCGCCCACTCGACCGACGGCCGACCCGAGTCAAAGACAACCCACCCAACCATCCTCATCACGATAATTATGAAAAAGCATGCGATTTGCGAGATGGCCTGGATCATCATCGGGCGTCACACCCTCACTGTGTATTGGTCTGTTACACGACGGCAGGGGTATCAAATTACCTCCTGTGTGCAGGCCCACCATCCTTCTCTCTCATATGTATATCTATATGTGTGTATATATACAGATATATGCAATGTTAACGTGTCGGCGACATCCCACGAACCCTTGGAGTGTCCTCTGCGTGTGAGATGCTTACTTCCCTCCCGGCCCGTCACCCCGTACCCTGGCCCGGTGGATTTGGAAGGGAAGGGGTCCGCCCGGATCCCACCGGCACGGCCCCAACGCATCTTGGCAGGATAGAGGCCCCCACAACGAGCCCAGAGGGCCCCAAAGGGGCCCCAAGACAGTCCAAGAGAGCCCCCAATCCCCGAAGGCTCCTCCAGGACGGCCAAGTAGCCTCCAGACGGCCCACGACGTCCCCCAAACGCTCCCAAAGACCTCCAAGAGCCTTTCCAAAACGGCCACGAGGAATCGTTCATTGATTTTCAATCCGTTCTTGAAAAACTGTAGCAGTCGCGCCTCTTCGGTTTCCAGACGCTCCACGACGGCCCAAGAGGCTCCCAAGATCTCCCCAAAGGGCTCCAGAGGCTTCCTAGAAGGCCCCTAAACAAACAAAGAGAACCCCCACACAGCCACACAGACGGCCTCCAAGAAGCTCTAAGAGGCACCCCGTGGGCCCCTACGCGGCGCCCAAAAGGGCACCAAGAAACATTCGAAAACTGCCCAATAGGCCCTCCCAAACAACACGCCACGACAGCCCGTTCCCAAAAGGGTCGGCAGTGTGGCATAAGCCGAAGGATTCAGCCGAATTTCAAAAAACCAGCGTTTCGCTTCGGACGGAATCCACGTCCATAAGTGACGTGCTGAGCGGCATCGTTTTCTCCGAAGGCGATAATGCAACGTATCCAATGTAGTCCATTATTACACAATTGGTACATCTTGTATAGCGTTACATTAGTATGTCTCCCCCCCTTACCCCCCTGGAGCCGCGCCACATGACACATGACCGTACCATACTGCCCCCCCCCTCCGTGGGGCGAAAAAACATACCAAAACGCATGGAACATCTATGATATCGACCTCCGGGGCCTCCTGGGACTCCACGAGGGCCTCAAGATGGCCCCAAAACGGCCCAAGACGGCCCCAGGACGGCCGAAAATTGCCCCAAGGGGGCCCATGCGGCCCACAAGACGGCCCAAGAACGCCCCAAGAGGACCCCCAATGACTCTTCCAAAAGACAAAATCGATGATTTCTTATGGTTTTTGACAGATTTTAGCGTTCTCGTGTTTCTTCGGCTCTCCGAAGGCCGTGACGGCCCAAGCAGCCTCCAAGATGCCCCAAGATTGCCCAGAAGGCCCCCAAACACGGCCCCAAAAGGGGTCCGAGACGGCCAAAAGAGGCCCCCAAGACGGCCCTCAAGACGGCCCAAGAGGACCCCAAGAGAGCCCCAAGGCGACGGCGAGATGCCTCCAAGATGGCCTCTGAAGGGGCCAGGCGGCGTACGAGCGCTCCCAGACGGCCCAAGACGTACCCAACAGGCCCCAAAGAGGCCCAAAAGAAGCCCCAAGAGGCCCCCTAGAGGCTTCCAAGCGGCTCAGAAGAAGCCCCCAGGAGGCTCCCACGAGGCTCCTCCAAGAAGCCTCCCCCCAAGAGGCTTCGAGAAACTATGCAGACGCCTGCGTATACGATAACACGTTCTCGGGCGGGCCGAACGGCACGGCTCCACAACGACATCCTTACTGCACGTGCTGGGCTCCGACAAGAAAGGCGAGAGAGCCAACGACTGGACTGCGCGTCTTCTCTTCCCATGCTGTTTTTCTCGTGGGTGCGGTCGCCAAGGGCTCGGGCGATAGTGCGGGCACAGCAGGCGGCGAACTCGCCGAACGGCGCAAGAACGCCGCAAAACGGCCCAAGACGCCCCCGAGAGGCCCTAAAGAAGCCCCCAACCGGCCCCAAGAAGTCCACAAAAGGCCTCCAAAAGGCCCCAAACAGGCTTCCGGACGTGCAACCCGCGAAGCGAAAAGAATTTCAAAAACCAACGTTTCGCTTCGGACATTTTCAAAATTTAATCCGCTGGCCCTCTTCGATCCCGATATCTATCGCACATTAACCCGCCGGACCTCTTCGAACCTGGCACCCGGGACAGGTTTACCATCCTAAAAGAAAGCCCTGGGCACCTGCCTTTTGAGGGAACCAAGCCAAGGGTAAGGACAGCGGGGGGGTCGTCATTTGTCCGCTGTGCGCAGGCCCGACATCCCTGTCGAAAACCAATGCAAAGTAATCGCGGGTGCACACACGATAGTCAAACCCGCAGTTGCTTGACATTGGTTTGTGAGAAGGGTGGTGGGGGGCATTGCCCGATGTGCGCTGTGACCTGCGCTGGCGTACCTGGCGCACTCGGAGAGCGACACGCACGTGACGCAACTGAACCATAAAAGAGACGAAGGAAGACCACAGGGAGACAATTAGAGGAGACCATACGACAAACCATTCGGCAAACCATCTACACGGGAGACCGTACGGGAGACCATACCGGAGACAATACGGAATGCCATACTGGAGACCACGGGCCACCGATTCCGGATCTGGGGGACCTCACGTCGGGCAGTCGAAGATGTTATACAAGACTCTTACATACCAGCTGTTCAAGCAAACATCGGACACGTTAATGTGTGTTAGTGTTCAAAGTGGCACCTCGCGATGGCCAGCTGGAGAGTAGTGGACGCCTCTCTAAGGATCTCCTGAGCGTCTCTTGGGAACCCTTTGTCGATTGTTTGGGCCTTCTTGTAGACTGTTCGACCGCGATCGGTTTGGGTGGCTGGATGCTCAAATGAACTCTGACAGAGAGATGCCCAAAATGCGGCGGAGGAGGCGGGACTACAAATCGCACCCCGTTGCGGGACAACGTGCCGGGGGGGCCAGGACAATAACCATGTCTTTGCTGCTGACTGTGTCTGTTCCCTGACTGTCTGTCCCCCATTTCGACCTTGAGGTCCAGGAAGCAAGGCTGCGAGGCGCTGCCGCCGAGATCCTCGAGGACGAGGTAGCGGCGCAAGCGCTGCGAAGCGTACTTCGACTCGCGGTCTGCTGCGTTGACGCCAGGCGCTGCGCTGTGCCCCGGGGCCGTGTCAGTGGCGTCCGCCCCGTTGAAGGCCAGGTCCTCGACTTGCTCCCGATTGAGCTTCTTCGTGCCGTAGAAGAGGGGCACGAAGGGCAGGAGCGGCGAAAGGCGCTCGTCGAGCAAGCTGTGGCAATAGAACTGCTCCTCGTGGGCGTCGAACGGCTTCAGCACCACCCGGCTACCACTGACGAAGCAGCTGTCCCCAGAGCAGGCGCTCGACCTCGCGAGCGCTTGCTGCTGGTCGGCGAGCTCTCGCCGTGGGCGAGAAGGCAACTCCACCTCCAAGCGGGTTCCAGGCGCGGGCTTCACCAGCCGGAAGTGGCCGCCGCACTGGTGCGAGTAGCTCACGAAACGTTCGCCGCCGACGGCCTCCTCGGCCACCTCCCCCGCGCTGTCTAGCGGAGGCTGCGACGTGTCATGGCCAGCAGGCACCGCCGCGCTGGGGCTGGCGGCGCCGAGGACCTGCATCCCTCGGAGAACAACGGCGGCCAAGTCCTCTCGGTAGCTGACCACCCTCAGCGCCTCCAGCGGTGGCACCCACAGCCGGTCCCGTGATTCTTCCTCCGGCCAGCGGTCAAGCAGGCGCACGCAGCGGCCCAGGAAATACCTCGTCTGGATGGGGTCTCCAAGCTTGCTGCTCGATGCGTACCACCCGAGATCCTCCACTATCTGGCACTCCACGCCAGCTTCCTCGAGCGCCTCCCGCTGCGCGCAGTCCTCGCACGACGAGTCCAATGCTTCTTCGAATTTGCCCGCCGGCAAAGTGTACCGGTCGCGGCCTGGCTCCGCGCCAGTGTCCCCGACATGCGAGCGGCTGCGTCGGCTCACGACCAAAAACTCCGCTCCGGCATCCAGCTCGGCCACCTCCCGGAAGCACAGCACGCCCGCCCGGCGCTTGGCCAGCACGCCGCCGTCGCCCACGGGAGGCCGCCCGTCGCACATCATCTCGCGGGCTGGGCGCGCGCCATTGGACGGCGCTGCGGGACGCGAAGAAACAGGCCTGGCGGCGGGGGCGCAGTTGCGGCGCAGGAGCGCGGTAACATCCACGGCAAAGGTGCAAGGCAAGGGTGCAAGACCCCTGGACGCCCACGCCCCCACGCCGCAGCGACATCAGGGCCAACAGCTTTAGGATCTGCAGCTTCTGGCTGAGGCTTGGCCGACTGGGAAAGGGCGCAATGGTGGCCCTGATCTGCCACCGTGCCCCATAGCACGCTGAGGCGAGGCAGAATGCCCAGTCTCTTGAGGCCCCACGCCCACCTGTATGCATCCCCTCCTCCTCGGGGTTTCCTGGGCGGAGCGATACGTTCCCGTGCTCTACAAGGCTTCCAAGATGGTCCAGGAAAGCCGAAAAGGCTGCCAAGGCAGTCTAACATGGCCTCAAGAGGTACCGAGAAACCCCCGAAAAGAGCCCAAGAAGAGCCAAAGGGGCCCCGAGATGCTCCCACGACACCAAAGGGAAGGCAAAGAGGATCCCCAGGAGGGCCAACACCATTCAGGCACTTGAGGAGTTCCTTCTGTTCCTGATGATGATTGATTACTCAGGACTCTCAGTTCACGAAGGTTCCTTCCAAGAGGACCTCGGAGGAACCAGATAGCAGCCCAAACTGTCCTCGTAAGACTCCCAAGCGCCCCTCCTACCAAAAGAGCCCCAATACACTCCAAGAGGGTCACAAGATGGCCCAACAGGGCCCCACGAGGTTGCCAAGACGGCCGCCAGCCACTCCCCAGACGGCCAAGAGAGGCCACACGATGGCCCAACACAACACAAGAGGGCCCCAACATGGACCAGGAGGTCCCAAGATGGCTCCATGACGGCCCTGCAGGAGCAGAGTCTCGTCTTTGAAAAGGCCATGGCGCCTACCCTAGAAATCCCTTCAAAGAATAGAGACGAGAGGTCTCGCATGTTACGGCCTGCTGGACGTCTGTTCCACTTCAAGGTAACACGAATCAGGCCGGGACGCGCCGCGGAACGTCCCAAAGGACGCGCCAGGGAACGTGCCAGAGGACGTGTCATAAAGACGCACCGCGGGACGTGCCATGGAACGTGCTAAGAGACGGGCCGCGCGACTTGCCAGGGGGACTCGCCACGGGACGCGCCACGGAACGTGCCAGGGAACGTGCCAGGCGACGCGCCAAGGAACGTGCCAAGGAACGCGTCAACGAACGTGCTACGGGACGTCCCTGACCCAGGGCCAGGATCCATTGTAAATTACACTGCGTCCGCGCTCCCAGGGCCACGATCCATAGAAAAATACGCTGCGTCCGCTCTCCCTGGGCCACGATCCCTTGTAAACTACGCTGCGTCCGCGCTCCCATGGCCGCGCTCCATGATGAATTGCGGCGTGTCCGCGCTTCCAGGGCCACGATCCCCAGTAATTTACATTGCGTCCGCCCCCCCAGGGCCACGATCCTTAGTAAATTACGTTGCGTCCACGCTCCCAGGGCCACGATCCATCGTAAATGAAGCTGCGTCCGCGCTCCCAAGGCCACGATCCCTTGTAAATTATGTTGCGTTCCACAAGCCCTCTTCCCTTCGGGGAGGCGAACCCTCTCTCTCCCCTCCATGGTTTCTTTTTTGGAGGGGGTCGCGATGTGTCGGAGGCTCCTTTTTCGGCCAATGTGAGGGCCATTTTCTGCCACCCCTCACGAGGATCGTTGCCCCCGAGGGGGGGACGCACATCTACAACCACAACTGTTTTGACCGACCGCCTCCAAGATGGCCCCAAAAGGCCCTCCAGGGCTCCGAGGAGGCTCCCAAGAGGGCCCGAAGAGCGCCCCAAGAAGCTCCAACAGGCCTCCGACAAAAAAAAAGACACCCGAGAGGCCCCCAAGAAACCCCCGAACGGCCCCCGAGAGAGAGCCCCAAATGACCTCCAAGATGGCTCAGATAGCCCAGGCTGGCTCAATATGCCTCTCAAGATGCTCCAAGCGGCCCCAAGACTGCTCCAAGACGGCTCCACATGGCCACGGAGCCTCCCAAGCCTCCCTCGCTGCTTGACTATGCCTGTCTCTTCCTCTCGCCCCTCGTCAACTCTCATGGGCATCGTTTCTGGATGGGCTGGTGAGATTTTTGGTCGCGGCCGCAAGCGAAGGCGCAAACGGCGTCCGAAGTCAGCGCGGGCTACGAGCGAAACTACCTAGCGCGCACTCACGGCTGCCGGAGTTGCCGCCGAGGGACGCCGGGCGGCGCCGGGGGCCGAAGGCGGGCTGCAAGAGCTGCCAGGTGTACCAGGCGGCTGTAGTGCAACCGTCCCAGGGGCGAGACCGCCAAGCGCGAGAGGTAAACGTGCCACCGAGCAGAGCACGGCATAGCGCGGGGCTGTGCAAGCAGTCCAGCGCACCTGTGACGCATGTTAACTGTGGCAACCTCAAGTGGCTGAACAGGAAAGGTAAGCCACTCATGAGCAATCCACTTGGAGGTGCATCCCACCATTGCAGGCGGCAGCTGCAAACACGGACAGGCTGTGGCAGTGTCTGAAGACCAGGGGCAAGGAGCATGCAGGCATACTAGCTGGAGCTGGTCGACGTGCGAGTCACTGGGACGCCATTGTGACCTCATCAGGCTCAACGGAGCCAGCACGGATGCCACCGGACGCCAGGGACGGAGGGCGAGGGCCCAGAAGCCGCAACCAGGCTGTGGTCGGCGTAAGGGCGGCAGTGGCCAGGGGGGGCCAAACAGCACCAAGACGGGCGGCGCAGCAAGCAGCTGGGGGCTGATAGTACCTCAGGCCACGTGCCAGCGGCGCGGCGTGGGTGAGTCAAGTGACGCCACGGAGAGGGGGCCAACTCACCAAGGATACCAAGCCAGGCTGTGGCCGGGTGCGGGAGAAGGCCAGGGTGAAAACAGCTACAGCAAACGGCCAGGGCCGCGCGGTGGCACGCTGCGCCCCGCCCCAGCAAGGGGCATCGTGCCAAGTATTGACAGCGCCGTGGAGCCTGATCCCCAAGGGCGGGGGGCGAAGCCAAGCGCATGTCGGTGCCGCCGCTGGTCGTCGCGAGGCCCGCTGACCAAGGGTGCCGGGTCAGGCTGCGGCCAGGTGCGGGGGAAGGCCAGGGCGAGGACAGCCACGGCAAACGGCAATGGCCGCGCGATGGCACGTTGCGCCCCGGCCCAGCAAGGGCATCGCGCCAGGTGTTGACAGCGCCATGGGGCCTGATCCCCACGGGCGAGGGTCGAGCCAGGCGCTATGCTGGGACCGGAACCGGTCGGCGGAATAGGAGAGGCGGGGTGGTGGTGGTGGTGGTGGGGGGGGGGGGGGCGACGCCGGGGAACGCATGCGGCTAACGGCCGCCGCGCAGTCAGGTGGCACACAGGAGAAGGAAAAGGGAGGGGAAGCGCTGAACGTGATGCCAGGAAAAGGGGCCGGTATTGAGGTGGCCAACGGCCACGATTTCTGGTCTCTGGTGTCTGGCTGACGGCCATGCCTTCTGGTGGCGCTTCTGGCGCATCCAGCGACTGTGCTAAGGAGATCGCGACGACTTGGGCCGCTTGTCGTCGTGGTCTGCACCGTCGCTGTTCCGTCTGCCTCTCTTGCCTCCGTCATGCCTGCCATTGTCGTGCCGAGACTGCCCTGGGCCGTGCCAGGACCGCCCCTCCCGAGAATCCCAGGACTGGTGCTGGGAGCGAGCTCCGCCCCACTGACTGGTGGGACCCCTTGCCAGAGGTCGCCCTGATATGCCTCTCGCGCATGGCATGCCAGTCGACTTCGAGATCCAGCTGCCGATCCATCTCGCAGGCGTCGAAGCCGCATCTGCGCCGGGCGTCCAGAAGCCCTTGCACGTGGCCTCGTCGTTCAAAAAGGCGGTTGCTTTTGGACTTCCCTGTGGAGCGGTTAGGGTGCTGCTGCGCGTGGCCGTTACAGATCCCGTTGAACTTGCCTCCTCGAAGTTTCTGGAGGCGCGCGATCTTGTTCGCTGGGGGCTCTCCGTGGTGATCCAGGTTGACGCTGCCCAGGTGTTCGCGATGCATGCTTCCGCCTGTAACGGGGCCCAGGAGATGGACGAAGGCCCTTCGCGCGCCGCCGCTGCGAGGGGGGGTCGAAGGGGCGCCCGCTGCCTTTGGCGCCGGGGGGCGGTGCGTGCTTGTTTTCAGCCCGGGTGCCAGGCGCGCCCCTATCACTGATGGCATTGCCGCGCCTCGGCGGAGGCGAATCACCGCTGGAACTGGTGGCCGCCGCGGCACCTGCGGCGGAAGGCGCTAGTGGGTCCTGCGGCCAGACGGCGCCAGGACGATCGTCGCCAGGGCTTGGGCTAGCTTCTGGGACGTCCTCGCTTTTGTCCTCGCGGCTGTACTCGAGCGAGGGTGGGAACGAGCTGCCAAGCTGCTGAGGACCTTCGCTCGCTTCTGCGCGCCCGCTCGGCGACTCTGCTGGGGATGCTGGTCGCGGGCCGCCGAAATCCACAGAATGATCCCTTTCCGTGGTAGTGCCGCTGGCGCCGTCGTGTACCTCGACGTCGTTTGCGGTGCCTGGTGGGTCGAGCTCCTCTTCTTCGCCCCTGACCGAGTCTGCGGGTGCGTTACCGCCCATGTGGCCCCCCTGCTGGCCGCGGGGGGGCGGCGGCCCCATCCCTGAGCCGCCTGGGGCCAGGTCCAGAAAGCGCCGCTGGGTCGCCCCCGCCAGGGTTGCATGCTGCTGTCTGCAGAGGCGCCTCGCCGCCAAAGCTAGTGACTGGGCCATCGCGCGCCAGGTTTGTGATGGTGGCTGTCGCGAAGGCGCTCGCGTCAAGGCCCAACGGGAAATAGGCGAGTGCCGGGGGCTCGTGCCAGGATGGGCTGGGCCCTCCGCTTCGCACCAAGGAGGTGTAGTGCCGCTGCCAGGCATCGATGCGTCGTGGGCTGTGAGGTGCGTCACCACGCTGGCGGCCGCCCAGCGCTTGCCGTCCCAGTTGACGTGTGGCGGCGAGCCATTTGCGAGCCATCCTGGCCAGGAAGGGGGCCAAGCTGTTTGCCGGCCAGGAGGTCTCCTGATCCTTTGGCTCGGGGATGGGCGCGCCCTCAACTGTCGCGCACCCCCGCCAGATCGCGTCGACGTCTGGGTGAAAGTCGCGGAGGTAAGTGGCAAAGAGGTGCTGCACCTCG